CAGTGCTGCGAAGCCGGGCTGCCCACCCCGCTGGGCGCCGCGACTGACGGAAGGCTCCGCGTGCCGAGCCGGGCAGCGCCGCCCTGTAACGGCGTGACGGAACCGGGCGGAAAGCCGCGCGTGGCTGCGTGCCTGCCTGAGCGGCAGGAAGGGCCCACGGTCAGGGCAGAAAACTGCAGGAGGTGTTCCTGAAACCTGCGGCCTGGGGATGGAGGTGCTGAGGTTTTTCAGCTGGTTTGAAATCTCTTCCTTTCTGTTTTCATTTCTCCCATCTATTTGTCATTACGAGCGGGCAGTCATTACCGTGCGCTGGCAGTCAGGGCTTCCCTTGCGGTGGTTGGATGCACACTAATAGAAAGCTGTAAGTTCCCAGGGGCCTTGTTAGAGACAATCCTTGCGGATTCCTTGTTTATGCCATCTGGAGCTCTGGTGAAATGTATCACTGCTCATCAGCTGCTACTTTGTATCTTACTGGAGAGATACAATTTATCACAACGGTGAGTTAAAGAGTTTTAAAAGGAGTTTTAGCTTTTTAAAACCTTCTGTTCGTGGGTGCAGCTCTTTGTTTTGAGCACTCAGTGCCCTGGTTCCCAGTGTGTTCTCCCCCGCTGTATAGCTGTTGCCTGGGGGGTGGCAGCCCAGCCCACGGCAGGGGTTGGAACCGGGGCTCTCTGAGTCCCTTCCACTCGTGTGGTGCGGATCTTTTCCCTAGGCAGTGGGCTGAGTGCACCTGAGTAATTCCAAGCAGATGTCTGCCTTTGAATCCTGCTACTAGGTTTTCTGCTGGTGTGAAAATTCTTCTGTACTTAGATTTTGCATTTGTGCAGAACGCGGAGTGTCTCTTGTTTGGGGCCATTGCTGCTGACTTCTGTGAGAGTTATTCTTGCCAAGCCGAGTGCTGACCTTATCTCTAATAGAGCTTTTGTCTCACTCGTACTTCTCTACACAACACTGATAAACTTTTAAACTTTTATGTTTAAGTAACATCATTTATACACTAGATTGCTGAGGAAAATAAGACATAAGTGAAATTTTAACAGGCCGTGAATTCTATTTTAACAGCCAGAAGTAAAACAGACCCGTTGCCTCTGATTATTCTAAAAAGCAAGGATTTTTTCCTGTCCAGTGATCATATACTCATGGCCAGCTTAAGTCTAGATGGTGCTGATGGTCTTCTGGAAGAACAAATTACTCTCAGAACTGTTTTTTAGATGTTCTTTTTTCTACTTATTTTCTGAAAAAGGGGGGAGTCTCTGTGTGTAGCCCCTCCTCATTATTACTCTTCACTTACAAAAGATTATGGATTTCTAAAGTTAGTGAATGATGCAGAACAACTGTAAGTGAAAACAAGGTGTGCAGTAAGAGCAGAAGAGCAGGGACTGTCATTGGTGCTTCCCATCAGCATCTTCGCTGCTGAGTGGTGCCGTAGGCTCGTTTCCCTTTGGAGAGCTGGTTGTAAGGGACAAGTGGGGGTCCTTACCAACCAGCACAGGGTGGATTCAGAGTGCAGCAAGTGAAAGTGCGGGGGGTGGTCCTCAGCAAGTCGAAGGGCAGTGCTCCATAGTTTTTGTGGAATAAGAAAAACTCCTAATGTACCCATTGTCCCTAGTGTCTCTTACCCTTAAAGACTTGCAGGCTTTTGAGCAGGCGTTTAGTTGAGCATCTGTAAATCATTTGTAACAATATCCGACCTTGTATGTGCAGCAGAAAGCAATCATAGTTGCAATTAAGCAAATGATTGATTGATAGTTGTAATTAAGCTTGATTAATCAAGTATTTAATGCCCACTGCTTCATTGGCAGCTTAAACCAGTTCGACCCAGTTGGAACTGGTGGTTTTCATTTTATGTTGTGAAGGAAATTGCCAGTGCTTAATTGTCAAATAAGCCTCACGTTCCACTGGAGTTCAACTAGCCAGAGCTAGGGCAGGAAGCTGCCTGCAAACAGATCGCATTTGTGGCCCTCATTTCAAGAGAACAAAGGGGATGGTTGAGCTTGGCAAAGGCAGAGGAAAACAGCACGAAAGGGCATTTGACATAGGCTTGCTTCAGTTGATAACTTTAACAGCAATGGCTATGGGAACAATACAATGGTAGGAAGGGAGAGCATGAAAAAAGACAATACACTGTGGGTGAAGGATGAGAAAATTGAAGTGTGCTGTTGAGAATCTGGGGGAGGAAGAGCGAGCAGATTCTTTTCTCTCTTCTTCATGCTCTCCTTCAGGTTTTCTGTTTCCGTTAATCTTTCAGACTTCTGGTTCCTTTAGCAGAGCAGCAGGGATGGGCTGTCAGAAATAGTGCTGCTTTAGGAGGTACATGAAAAAATGAGAAATCCTTCAAATCAGCATTTTCTCCCCAAAGCCTGCTTTGGTCTGGGTTCTGTTCCAGAAGTTCCATGAATATATCAGTTGGAGATTGCTTTTCTGGTGGTCAGTGCTTTTACAGTGGCCTTGGCTCTTATCGGCGTTGGTTGGCACTGGAAAGTTGTCAGGACATTGTGTGTTAAATTAACTTCAGGAAACTCATTGGAGAAGTCTGCATTTCTCCAGGAGTTTTATCATGATATTTACCAGCAGTATATAAAAAAAAGGGATATGAAATATGCACTGAAATGCAGTTGGTACTGATCTCTCTGCAGTGCTGCTTTCCTTGCCAAGCTGTGCAGTATAATCTTCTCCTAAACACATGGCCCTGTCGAACAGCAGAGAGCT